TAACACAGAAAAATATTTAAGATTATTTCAAAGTAACCGAAGGCTAGGAGGCTTCACGAGAGAGAAATATTTGCTTATAAATTAAGATTTTAGAACGCATTCACACCTACGGGAATATACTGTGTAGGTCGGCTTTTGTCTCATAGATTTATCGCTTTGTTGCACTCTCATTGTTGTGTATTTTTTCACTAGCTTTCACACCCTCTGAACAGAAGTATTGAATAAGGTTTTTTTCCGTGCATTCTAACAATGGAACAATTGTGCTGAACTCATCAAAGAAATTATCTATTCAAACGATATTTACAATTAGCTACGTACAAATGAGGAACGGTTCATAATGTATACGTACGCTATATTTACCAGGGCTGCCAATATAACTTTAGAAGTAAACTAAAATTACCTTTGCCTATTTGGCGTTCTTTGTATCGTAAAAGAAGAAGTCGTGTGTATAAGTCATGCCTGTGACCTAGTATCAGCGTCTGTACCGTTAGAAAGTTGTAATCAAAATTCTGCATTGAAAACTTTCATTAAGGCTGTCGGAAAATTTCTATTTTCAGCCATACTGTTGAACAGAGACTGGTTTACGTAAGACCATAATTGGTGTTTTCTATGAATCCCATTAATCGTTCAACCAACACTGCTGGAATTCGATATGGAGACTATTACCAAAAAAAAAATATTTGCGTGACTTTTAGCCTTACTGATCCCATAATAAAGCTTGGTTTATTTAAGGTCATATTTGGAACTTCTCATGTACCCATAAACAATCTGACATGTGTATATCTTCGAGATTATACATAGGGAGCTTTCATTTAATGTTATTGGACAATTCGGATTTTCTGTCACACTGATCCACCAGGAGGCCTAGTTTACATAAAGCACTTGACCCTTTCCATATATTCCAAAGAGTTTGGCACATTTTCCATATAGGATGCTTCGATCAGACGTTGTGGGGAAATTGCAGTTTTCTGCCACATTGATCCGTAATAAGGACTACCTTATTCAAAACCATAAATGGATTTTCCCATGTATTTCATAAATCCTTCCACATATTTTGTTGAAATTCGATTTAGGAAAATTTTCAGTAATCTCCATTTAATTACTTCAGTTCTTAAATAATCTTAATAACCTAAAAGTACGTTGTCGGTAACTACGTACACCATATTATAGTCTTTTCAGTTTGCTTACTTTCGGTCGTATGTAGGCCTAGAAACATTATTTACATTCGCAATAACTGAAAGACATTAAATCCCTGGAAGAGCTCAGCGTGTAATGAATCCGCGTGTAATGGAAACATCTTAGACGTGTTTCGTCTGGAACAATTTTCAGCTAGATGTTGACTGAAGCCTCCAAGAAGTATGACAGACTAATTAGTAGATAAGTGCCAGTCAAATACAACAGCTTGCAGAAGCTGAAGAACTCCACGGCCGAACGATGTCGAAAGACATATTGACGTGATGTATCAAGAAACTGTTGCGTCATGTATTCACGTAAAGACCAGTGTGAACTCATGTTTGTCTCTAGCTGTCTAAGAAAAGCAGAGTCGAGATAACTCTGTAATGAAGAGCATGGAAGAGATAAGAAATGTATACAAAATTTTTAATTCTGTATTTCAGCATCCTGTTGCAATTGTTTAACTTAACGTCCATGTATTTATCGTCCCTCAACATTACAACAGTTGTTTATTCGCCACTTAATCTTAATTTTAGTTTAACATTTTGCACTTTGACACAACTTGTTCGGCCCCAAACGGCCATCTTCAAGCTGCCGGAAGAAAACACCTGGGACAGACATACATTTATGGACAACGGACGACGCCCCTTGTGAGGTGAAATAGAATGCACCAAAATAACATGGGTATAACAGAAACTTTAAAGGATTTTATCTGGTTTTAACTTGAAAAGAGAACTACAGCTTGTGCTTTTAACACGGACTAACACAGTGTAGCAGTTTTAACATAATTTAATAACATATCAAGACACCTGAAGATGGCCGTTTAGGGCCGAAATATGTTGTGTCAAAGTGTAAAATGTTAAACTAAAATTAAGATTACGTGGTGACTAATCAATTGTTGTAATATTGACGGAGGATAAATACATGGACGTTAAGTTATACAAAATTTTAGTTGCAAAACTTGAAGGTAGCAAATAACTTGGAAAATGCGGGCGAAAATTGCAGGAAAATATTCCAAAGGTCCTCTTAAAAATCTGGCGTGTGAGTATGGACTTGATTAATCTGGCTGAGGATTGGGTCCAGTAGTGGACTGTTGTGGGCACAGTAGGATCACAGGGTTACACAAAAAGCGTGGATGTGTCTGTCTTGCTAAGAAGCGAGTGCCCTCGTAAATCTTCACGTAGTGAAATTATGAAGTCAGCGTAGGTATATATAAGAAAGCCGGTGTTATGGCGGGTTCTTGGGCAATCAATATGAGTGTTGCTAGAATTAAACGATCCTAGGGCACGTCATGTGGAATTTGTGGTGGACGAAGCAGCACTGAGGCTGTTTCCCTCTGAGTACATCAGTTTCCACTGCCAATTCCCTTTTCACTGACTGATCCATGTTCATTAATGATCCTATCTTCGACGCTACAGTCTTGATACTGATAGCGTCGTTACATAATAATCTAAGAATAAAAATCCAACAGCATATTCGTTCTTGAGGAGGGTGCAGTGTCGCGGAACAGAGCGTAAAGGGGCTGAGTCATCTGACTTTCAGTAGCTTCTCGTGCCGTCTAGAAATCTAGGAAAGCTGCCGATTTTGAGGAAGACCGCGATCGACTAAAGGGAACACGGTGAGTTATTTTTTTATTGCTAGTGGAGTCTCTTGTACTGCAGCCACTTCTGGCCTATTGTACCAGTCCCAGATGATAGTTGAGGGTGATTGTGGAGCAATTGGTGGAATGAAGAGTGGCAGGAGAAACCGAAGTACTCGGAGAAAACCTGCCCCAGCGCCACTTTGTCCACCACAAATTCCACTTGACTAGACCCGGGATCGAACCCGGGCTGCCGCGGTGGGAAGCCAGCGACTAACCGCTTGAGCTATGGCGCGGCCACACGGCGAGCTAAGCGCGCGTAGAAGGGCTGAATTATCTGGCTTCAAGTCTTCAGCGAAAGGGGCCTTAATTACACTGTACATATGTACGCATTTGTATGTATGTGACCGCCTCTGTGGTCTAGTGGTCAGAGTTCCTGGCTACAGATCCAGAGGTCCGGGTTCGATTCCCGGCTCTACCAGATTTTCTGAGAAGTAGTGGGTCTGAAACGGGGTCCACTCAGCCTCGTGAGGATAATTTAGGAGCTATTTCAAGTAATTAACGGCTCCGGTCTAGAAAACCGAGACTAACTGTCCTGGGGATTCATTGCGCTGACCACGCGACACACTGTATCCGCTAAAGCTGGCAGTAACTTCGAAGACAAGCGGCGGACGCTCGGTCGGTATAGTTCGCTTACGGACTAAAACCGCGGAGTATGTATATATGCATGTTTCTATGGAATTCTAAAGGATTTGTAAGAAAAACAGGTACATGTGGTCAATGAAATTTCCAATGACAGAGGCTTAAAAATATATTTTGTATGTATTATATTGATATGGTATATAAAGGATTTGTGGAAAACAAGGAACCCTCTAATTAATAAAGTCTACAGGACACCCTCCGCTGTACAAAGTCTCCATTGACAGGCGCCTTCTTTCGGTTGCAATAACTTTAAATTGAAAATGTGACGAATTTCCACGGGACCCTCAGCACCTAATTATGAGCAAAGCGCCGCAGGCGTGATGGGTGCTCTCAGGATGCTCACCCAGGGTCAGGTTTGAGGTGTGGATGTGGGTGAACAGTAAACTCTGGGTATTTCATACGATTTATGAAAGGGCTACTGGGCGAGGGCCCATAGGACTACTACCTTGACGTTGTTGGAGGGCTTATGGGTCACTCGGAACTGAAGGAGGGTCAAGAGGGTGGATCAAAGGCATTCGGACTGGATGGGTTACAGAGAGGAATATTTGCAATTACTGAACAGAAGAGATAGTTTCGAGCAACTGGCCATAAGGTATTGAACACATTCCAATTTTTCTGTGGATTTTATTTTCATATTCTCGATAACGCCAACACAAGTTGTAATCTGACGGATACACGGTCTTATCTGCACCCCAAAATAATGGTAATTAGTTAATTTAAAATAACGACATGAAGATGTATAGATTAACGTAAACGGTTCTGAACGCAGTCTTAACTTCGGCACTAAACTGAAATAAATGATCAGCTTCACGCCCCGGTCGCTTTAACCCGGGGGAAACTCCGCTACCCGTTGGAAAGAATACTAGTTATTTTTACTCTAAAGTTATGCGATACTTCAAAATTGAATTATCTGACTGTTAATAATTAAAGTGTTTCAGTAACATTTTTTCTGTGATTTATTTTATGACGCTGTCAGAATCTAATAATATATAACCTCGAATGTTTGATCAGTGATTAATGAATTGGAAGGGATCTAGAAGGAAGTGGTGGTGGCCTAATTGAAGTACTATCCCGGCAGCTACCTGGAAGGACAGACAGGAACCAAGAGAAATCCCAGGCAGAATGTCCGGCATCACAATTCACCTTTGGTTTAGAGGTTAAGAATGTGTGTCGCTATACCTCCACTCATCCATACGTCTTCATGCCGTGGTGCTTAATTAAGCAGAGATACACCTTCATTTGTTTCCTTTCTGCCTAGGTATTAAAGACGGCCACAAAATAGATGCAATTATTATTCTAATAATTCATAATTTTCGTCTAAGTTTTGAGACGACATTTTCTCGAAAATTGAAGAACTCAAATTACAATCATGACGAAGCAATAAATTCATGGGATATATATATAAACTCCGTGGCCTGTAGTCCGCAAGCGAACTATACCGACTGGGTGTCTAAACCGGAGCCGCTATTTCCGCGATTACACACATATACACTGTGAACACAGACTAACGAGGAAACAATGATTTAGAAAGGAGAAAAATAAAAAATACATGAAAAGTATAGATTTATGATATCTTACGCTGCATTATCTGGAAGATCGTTACCAGTTTGTTTCTGTAGGAACATGCTGTATCCATCTTAAGCATAAATGTGATAGAAATTATCAAGAATTACAATATAATTTTCTGGAATTCACTTCAAGTCCGTGTGAAAATCCGCAAAACGTTTAGAGACTTCTGAAATATTTCTTACCCTAGAAGGTTTTAATACCTAGATGACAGGTTCATAACAATCCCTGCTGCTATCCCAGAAGTCTTCCAGTTTATTGTACACTTTTGGTGCTGGATCATTATAATTGAGAGCCTCGCACAGTCTGCAGTAGTGGTACACCGGTGACTGGAAGTAGCCGTGTTCGTTAACAACCTTGAAGTTCTTCTTCCAGTGAAAGAAGTTGTTGTATTCCGAAGGAGACGCGTTTAGGTAGAGCAGATACCGGGCTAGACTGGCGGGAGACGAGAAGTTCCTGACATGGATGTAAGATTTAGGGGGAAGAAGACGGACACAGTCCTCCAGAGAAGCCCCCATGATGACGGGAACGGCTCCCTTGTGATACGCGTTCCACCACGCCTTCTCTGTGATATATTCCCGGCAATCACCGTTCTCAAATGCAAGGTAGAACTTGTAGTCGTTCAAACGAGGACAGTCCTTCGCGAAATGGCCGTCACACCTAAAATGGCAGAAAATGATCAAGTAAATGTTGGATTAATGAGTTAAAATTCAATTTAACTACACCACTTATTTACATCTATCAAAGAATTGTCTGATTAATTAAAATAACCTAATCAAGCTTCTTGATCTTTTCTGCCTGACTGAGTCCTGAAGGCGGATGGTAGAGAGGATGGGATAATGAAAGTTCTATCGGCGGTAAAAGTAGCCCACTCCGTTGGTAGGTAAAGTGGAGAAGCTTCCATCTGCCTACAGCGTTCAGTCAAACAATAATCCCTGAGCAGTCGACATGTGCAAAATCCTTAAAAAAATCATGTTTTTATGTGAAACACGAAGGTTTATTATAGTTCTAACGTAATCGCACCATTAGAATCTAACCTTATCCTGCTCAATAAAAGAAAAACGTAACTCATTGTTCTATATTTCACCTATACTATCCATCAATTAGATCGTCCCCTTGCAATTTTTTTTTTCCTTGGCACTACAGTCCCAGTGGGCCTAGGCCTATCTCCATGAACTTCTCCGTTCACTTCGGTTTTTTTAGATCTAACACATTCGGTAGGACTCCTTGGGCGGGTGATCAGCTCGTCGCAAGGCCTCTACTTGTACACAAACACAGAAAAAAGCACACACACAAACTAAACATCCATGCCATGAGTGGGATTCGAACCCACGATCCCGGCTTCCGAGCGAGCGAAGACAGTGCACGCCTTAGACCGCTTGGCTACGGTGACCGGCCCCTTTGCAAATTAGTAGGGCAAACACTTCCTTCTACTGATTCCAAGGAGTAGTCTTTCTTGACACGTTAATAGTCAACGAGCTTGTCAAGAAACTATATCTTTTTTATGGGAACAGACTGTTCGCTATCGTGCTCACAAGAGCCTGCTACTGGTTCGTATCCTGTGTAGGACGAATCGAGTTCATATCTTCATATCCCATTTTTCTAAAATTAAATTCTGATATTATCTTGCAATGTGTGGCTATATCTCACATATTCCAACAAAATAATTTATATTCCTCATCTCTCCCATAAGTGCTACACGTCCAGCCCACCGCAGCTTTTTGATATTATATTTCAGCATCCTGTTGCATTGATGTACCTTTAATGGTCGTTTTCTTTTTCTGTCTATAATACATCAAATTAATAACATTAATTCACATTTAATTCATACAAACAACAAAAACAAACTCCGTGGTCTGTAGTCCGCAAGCGAACTATACCGACCGACTGACCGCCGCTTGTCGGATCCCCACGGCTGTTAATCTCGGATTTCTAGACCGGAGCCGCTATTTCCTTGAACTAGCTCCTCAGTTATCTTCACGAGGCTGAGTGGGCCCCGTTCCAGATCCAATACTTCTCAGAAAATCTGGTAGTGCCGGGAATCGAACCCGGGACCTCTGGATCCCTAGCCAGGAACTCTGACCACTAGATAGATGGTCATTTAATTCATATAATGATCCTTAATGTATAAAATGTTATTAGAGTTATTAAAATATCCGACATAACACTGACAATATAATTAATTAATCACTCTCGCAAATATGTAAAGAAATATTAGAATAGCCCCCGTACCTAGATTCAAAGCAAATAACTCCCAAACACAGAAAAAACTTCTTATCATCGAATTAACCTTATCAGTTGATAGCACAATAGAGAAGAATGTTAGTGATCATGCATTTGCCGTCAGGACGTGAGGCGTAACGGTCTGCTTGCTTCCGCTACACGCAAAGTGTCTTCCTGGCCACACAAAGTTTTTCCCGCGGTATTTTATGCTCGTAAGTTCCGTTAAAATTGTATGCAAATTCAAAGGTCATGTTCCTTATTACAGGGCAGATAATCAATGTGATCCTTGCATTATTCAGCAAACAAGTCTCGACAATCTTGGTTTTTCCTAACCTCGGAATCCAAGTGTAACCGATTCATAGCATTATATACACAGACGCAAATCTGTGACTTTCACATCAAAATTTGCATATTTTCCGGGGGCAAGACCATAAGGACACTCTAAATCTTTTTAATATAAATACTCTGGTGCGCCTTTTTTGGGAGACGTGTCTGTTTCACATATACCTATGTAGTTATTATGTATTCATTTGTGTTCAGTGAAGGAGCCGGTATAGCCACTGGCTACGGGCTGGACGACTGAGGAGCTGGAGTTCGAGTCCCGGTAGTGTCAAGCCGACCTTCAGGAAAAGAAACCAAATTGAGACATTCTTAATAAGAAACAGGGAGACAAACCACTCGACTCCAAAGCACATTTTTCTTTACTTGAAATCAACAGTATACCCTATAAATTTAAAGTAATACGGAGACAAATTAAATTCAATCAGAATATTTCAAAACACACGTAAAGTGCATGACTTAATTGATATTCAAGTTCTATCTTCTATACCGCTTTGTGACAAAGTAGCATGAATGGGGGAGACGAAGAATGCGTATAGGATATTGGTGGGAAAGCCAGAAGGAAAGAGACCACAGGGACGACCAAGGCTTAGGTGGGAGGACAATATTAAAATGGATCTTAGAGAGATAGGATGGGATGGTATGGATTGGATTGATCAGGTTTAGGATGGGGACCAGTGGAGGGCTCTTGTGAACACGGTAATGAACATTCGGGTTCCATAAAATGCTGGAAAATCGTTGAGTAGCTGCAGATTTGGCTTCTCCTCCAGAAGGGCTCAGCTCAGTGAGTAAGTAAGTATACCGCTGTGTAGTTCGGTGAAGGTCAAATGACGTTTTGGAGGAATGTATCGCTTCAATCTTCGGGCCCCAAGAGTAAACCAAGCAAGAAACCAGAATGAAAGAGTTATTTCGTATACACGGTGCCAAATCCCAGAAGACTGCTTTCTTCATAGTCACCGCCGTGAAAGCCTCAAATCTTACAGAGTTATTTCGTGTTTTCTGTCTGCTTCATACTGTTTTCTTGCTTTTCTTACTATTCTATCACGAAGATGGAAGCGATATTGTGCTCCGAAACGTCAGCTGGCTTTCACCGAGCTATCCCAGAAGATTTAACTCTTCATAACTATCGCTGTGAGAACACTAAATGCTACTTAACCGATCTTCGTTCATTTACTTCAAATATGAAATATGCCGACAGACTCCACATCCCATCGACGGTTAATTTCATTCACTTTGCACAAACAAGGCCCAAAGTATAGAAAGAACAGTATCAGGGAGCGTAGATAGACCGGTGAAACTCCGCCCGGGCTTAGAGATTCAGGGGGTTAGCCGCTGCAATCGCACAGAGCAAATTAAAATTGTAAATTGTATAAAATTTGAGGTTTTAATGGCGGTGAAGATTCATATGCTGGCCTTCTGAGATATGGTACAGTTTATTCTGATCAGTAGGGCACAAAGTTTCGGAGGAATATACTGCCTCCGTCTTCAGTAAGCAGTATGTTCCTTCGAAACGTTTGTACTCACCTGCATGGTGTAATAACATATGAGACCAAGATATGAACTGTAAAAAAATTTCATTTTTCAGCATATTATCTTAATCACTACTATAAGATACGATTTAAAAAATAAATAAGCATAAAAATAAACATATTAAGGTGACTTAAATGTTATCCAAAAAGATATATTGATTCGAAAATTACGTCATTGATTCTGCAAGCCTACACCAGTCACTCTCTGCTTTGCATATAGCAGCATTCGTAAGCCTTAAAGCAATGCGCTTCTGCTGTACGGTATATTTAGCATAGGCGTTCATTATTAGGAATATATAAACATGTGGAGCGGCAGGCTAAATCTTAAGCTGCTTCCGGGGCCAGACACACGTCGCTATTCTGGTGACAATAATCCAGCAAAATAATAAAGTTCTGCGCAGAGTAACGTTGCGGGCTCTTCCCTGAGGATGCCAGCAGACACAGACCGTGACTACAGCTCTGAAGGCTAGGGTTCATCAATCTCATCCGGGTTATTAAGGACGGCAGCACACTGACTTGCAAGTATCGACTCTTCCGAAGCGATGTATTGAAGTGTACGTATGCAATTGATTTGTTCCTTCTTTACGAAGATGCACATTAATTTCGTTAAAGAATGTAAACTCTAATAGCAACACTATAACAAATCAAAACTATATTAAACAACAGATAAAATTCGGAACGGCAATTCAGGTATGGAAACTAGGCTACTGAGCTTTAATCCCCATTACGAGCAAGAAATTTTTCCTTCTACACAACTTCCAATCCTTCTCCAGAGCCCAACCAATCATCTATCACACGGAGAACGGAATCTTTCTTCAGGAGTAATGCAGCCGGGACGTGAAGCTGACAGTCATCTCCATCTAGTGTAGAGGTTACGAATGAATGGAACTATAACTCACATATACCTCCCTGTGTTCAGTTAAGCTCCATGCAATGAAGAAACATAGGGTTTCGTCTTCATAGCATGGTGCTTAACCAAACACAGGAAAAACTTTTAACTTCTTTGCTTTTTGAAAATCGATTAACGCTTGCTGCCAATCAGTTCAGGGTCTCTTTTGTTCTTCTCTCCTCTCCAAAAACGCGAAAATTAAAAGATGCGATGCCATAACGTCTTTTGTTCTGTATGTGACAGACGCGGTCTCTCAAATTATGAGGAAGTACATAGATAGAGGATAATTAAGAACTGGAGAGTGAAGAGAACTGGAGGGAGGAAACAAGAATAGACTGGAGAATACTGCCCATTATGGAGCTTCATAATCATCACATACTTTTTTTTTCCCTTGGCACTACAGCCCCAGTGGGCCTAGGCCTACCTCCAGGAACTTCTCCGTTCACTTCGGTTTTTCTAGATCTTACACATTCGGTAGGACTCCTTGGGGGTGATCAGCTCGTTGCAAGGCCTCTACCTGTACACAAACACAGAAAAACGCACACACACAAACTAAACATCCATGCCCTGAGTGGGATTCGAACCCATGATCCCGGTTTCCAAGTGAGCCTTAGACCGCTGGGCTACCGTGACCAGCATAACACACTATTACTGTGATCAAATCAAGAAATATGAGCTGAATGGGGGCGTGTAGCACGCATGCGATAAATCAGAAACGCCTACAAGAATTTTAGTCGAGAAACCTCAAAGGAAGAGACAGCTCGGGAGAAGTAGGCGCAGATGAAGAAAATATTAAAATAAATCTCAGAAAACTGGATGAATTGCTATTAGATTCTGAGTCATGGCGTTGGTTATCTTGCCACAGGAAGAACATCATCCTTTATTCCATGCAGACTGTTTTTCAGTGGCAGTGTACGTCTGGCCTCAGGAGATTTCAGTTTCAACTCAAGAATCGTGACAGCGTGACTCTATAATAGTTGCTACAACAGCAAACAATTCCAGCTAAGGCGAACAATATGGAATTGCTCTTCAAGTTATTCTCATGCTCCTCCATTGCACCGAATATCACAGCATTCTTGCTTCGTATTCGGGAGGACACGGTTTCAAATCTCGCCTCTGAGACTAGCCACATTCTGACTCATGTCATTTGTGATTTTCCTCAGTCCCTCCAGGTATACGGAGTCAGGATAGCTCAGTCGTTATAGCGATGGGCTATGGGCTGGGTGGCCGGGTTTGATTATCGGCAGGAGTAAGATTTTTATATTCTCCATAGCGTCCTGCCTACTTATAGGTCCCATCTATCCCCCTATACAATGGGCACTGGTGTCTCTTTACCCGGAGTTAAACCGGCCGAGCCGTGAAGCTGATTACTCACCTCCATCTAGTACCTCCACTTCCCCATATGCCTTAGTAGCATAGTGCTTCAATTAATTAATTAAGTATATGAGACAAACTCCGTCTTAAGTGCAACAATTTAATTGTAGTTCTTTCTTCTTTCCTTCCTCTACACTACATGTTTCGGCCCTAAATGGCCATCATCAGGTGTATATTCTTATGTAGCTGCTACACTGCCCGTAGTTTAAAATTTAAAACACCAGTTTTTCCAATTGTATGTATGTACGTATTAAAGATAGGCAGCGGCACACGAACAGAGATTCTACACAGAATAATACCTGAACAGCGATAAAACAAGAAGTGGCCGCTGCAGCACTATAGACATAGGGCGAGTACCCCAAGAAATTTTAATTTTTAAAATTTGAGAAAGAAAAAGAAGGGGAAATTTAAAGACATTTTAATTTGAAATTGAAGTTTTAAAAAGTGCCAATTTTGGAAATCAAATTGACGTGTGTATGTTAACAAAGATTTTATACATACATACAATTGGAAAGACTGGTGATTTTAAATTTTAAACTACGGGCAGTGTAGCAGCTACGTAAGAATATACACCTGATGATGGCCATTTAGGGCCGAAACATGCAGTGTAGAGGAAGGAAAGAAGAAAGAACTACAATTAAATTGTTGTACTTAAGACGGAGTTTGTCTCATATATATTGTGTGAGTGTAACAGGATGCTTAAATATAATATTGTAATTAATTAAGCATAGGGGCAATTTTACCTTTACCTCCCCCCCCAAGGAATGTAATGAGACAGATCTTAAACCAGGCCAAGACCAGTTCCTTTCACATTGTTTCAAATTCATTATTGCATAATCATGCTAGCGTTCGGTTCTATATAACTCAGCACCTGCAAGCTCCATTAAAATACACGTACTACGAATGAATGTAAAAAGTAAAATAAAGTAAAGTAAAGTAAAGCTATCCTTGTAAAAGGCCGTGTAGGCCCATAGGGTTATGAGATGTTGAGACTCCCACATTTTCTAGACAATCGGCTCACAGATGGCGGTGAGGTAGTCAGCCTTACGCGCCGGCAGCCCTTTACCCCCAGGAATATTCCTGGTACTCATTTCTGTTAGAGGCTGAGTCGACCCCAGGACTATAGTGCGGCTGGAAGGATTAGGTAAATTATATAAAAAAAAACAAATAACTTTGTTTGTTTCAAATCCTTCTGTGTTCTCGTTGATAAGTCCAACGTTATAAGAGCTCTGGTATGTACTTGACATAAGAAGGAACGTAACCTGAAGCAATTCACACATTCTGATTAGATACTGACGTCACAACCACCAAACCTTCTGGCGGCCATCTCGAGTTTATCGAGTTTTCTAGACGTTTCCAGACGTGGCTGACATATTAAGCACTGCAGTTGCATTCTTTGCAACTGTTCTATTGGCAGTTCAGGGCATTCGACGTAGAGCTGCTAATAACACATTATCAAACATTTTCTTTTCTTTGAAAGTTTTCCTGCAGTGGTCATTCGCCAGCTTCGGAGTTTCTAACCAGGGCAGAGCAGGGCAGGGCAGGGCAGGGCAGGACACGACATGACTTCACAGTCGACAGACGACAATGGGGCCGAGATTCAAATCCCGGACCTGCAGGAGAAAGGTTCTACTGCCCTTGAGGCTACCACGAAACTTGTAATTGGTGAGTTATGGAAGGGTCTTGCTCCCAGGATCATTATGATTGACACCCTGACAGGTGCTCAGAGGTTCATGTACGATGCAGTGAAAGTGTGGCTGTGTCTGCCACGATCTCCACCACCACAGATGCCGTCAGCAAAATGCAAATTAATAACCAAACAGCAATAAAATATAACACATTATGAAATATATTACATTTGGGTAGGAATTTAATTAGCATCCAAAAGTCTCTTTACTCTAAACGCAGGAGACCAGGATTCTAACGTATCACCAAATGGTCAATTCTTTTTTAATTTCTTGGGGTTGGGTGAGAATGAGTCCATTCCGTACGTTGGCCACTATTCAGCCTATTGTACCAGCTCCGATGATAGATGATGAATGCGGAGCAGTTGGGGGGATGAGAATTGGTAGAGGAAACATGAGTGCTCGGAGAAAACCTACCCCACTGCCACTTTTCCCACCACAAATGCCACTTGACCTGACCTGAGTATGAACCCCAGGCCACCGAGGTGAGAAGCCGGCAACTAACCGCCTAAGCTACGGCATAGCCCACCAAATGGCTAAATTTACATCTTCGACGTCACGCCATGAGATCATTCCTCAAGGTGATGCAGCTGTCCCTCGTACTGCCTATCGCAGGCACAGGACGGCCAGCAGCGGGTAAGAACCTACGTACTATAGCAAAACGCTGAACAAGGCTGAGAGAAATTGCTGCGTCACCCAGCGGAAACTACTGGCAATCGTGAGGAAAATAGAACACTCAGTACTACTATGGACAAGAGATTCACCTGTGTAACGCCAACTCTGCCCTAACCTCTCTGATGAGTTTCAGGAATCTCCAAGAACAGGCGGCCCGCTGGGTCCAGCGCCTCCAAAAATACAACTTCACCTCCGGCACTGCCAAAGGGTACAGGGGCGGGTAGACGTCAGGAAGGTGTAAGCTACTCCGGCCATAGCCGCGACGGTTGGGTGCCAACCGCCTTGAGGAGGGAGCAGCTCATTCATTACAACGTAGGACCGATTCTGCAGTCAATGGGGGACAGACAACACGCGAAATGGAAGGACACTGCCGACCGCAGCCCCTCCTATAAGACCTACTTGGCCCGATGGAAGTCCTTGAAATAAGGGATGCCATAATGAAGCGTCACTGGGAATCCGCCGACGGACGATCCAAGGTAGCTAAGTTGGCCCTCCCTTGAAGGAAAGTGAAGGATGTATCGGCCGAACTTCATGGTGGACCATCAGGGTGTCAATATGACCTTATACAAGGTCAGGCAGAGGTACTACTGGCTCCAGGCAAGAGAAGACGTCGAGAAGCGGTGCCGACACTGCGACACCTGCGCAACCAGTCGCGGCCCGCAAACCAGAGGTCGGAACTTACGCATCAGTACACCGTCGGCGCTCCATCCAAGAGGAGAGCCATTGACGCAGCGGGACCCTTCCCTCAGAGTAACTAAGGGAACCGACATCTCGTGATCGCGATGGAATACTTCACCAAGTGGCCGGAAACCTACGCCGTCCCCAAACATGAGGCGTCGAGATGGCAGATACCCTGATGAGCGGACCAAGTTAGTCACTTGGAAGTTAGCGCAGTCGGTGGTTAGCCATGAGTACGCAAGCAGAATAATCTCCTCTGTAAGAAGCCGCTACCAAGCAACGACTACTGAAGAAAGATTGAGAAGACTTGGAGTGTGTACTACTTATTTGTAGATTGTGCAGAACAGCGAAATTGTTGCAATTATCTGTAGGTAGGAGAAATAAGAATCCAGTAAATCTAATTATCAATTTAAATCTAGTCACTAACACGTGACAATATTAACATGGTCTTATCTAGGAGTGTCGCCGAACGGCGATCAGTTACTGTAGCCGGAGGGTGGATAACGGATATTCAGACAAGCATAGAAGATACGAATACGTACGAAAATCAACGGGAGTCCGAAGAGATGGGGTCTGCTGGTGCAAATGACAATGAAACAGACTTGCGAGGGGAAGGCGTGATGTTAACTGAGTGTCACGAGAAAGCTGAAGGAACTTCTATACTGAACTGCAATATAGCTAGAGCCTGTCACACAGGGCTCTCCCTGAACTTCTTACAACTAACCATCTTCCCTGAGGACACTGGAAGAAAAAGCTTCTCATGACATACAAATTGTACACAAATCATAAATATTTCATGCATCGAGGTGTTAAATTTTAGTGTTACTCCTGCAACCCTTAGGAAAGGGACGACCCTGGTAGTACAAATATATGCATGTCTATATTGCAGAATAACACTGATTTTTTGGGGAGTTCATTATGAAAACCACGCTTAACTGTAAGATATTTTAGGTTAATATGGTATGATCTCAATTACTGGTAAAGATGCGCGCGCACCTCAAGTTGCCGCATGCGCCGTATACATCCACTGGTATGTGTTTCTTCAGCTCCTTTACGTAAGACCAGCGCTTGTTCTTTCCTGCGCAGTTAGACACCATGATGGCAACCAGCTTCCTCTTCTCCCTCCTCTTGCCCTCTCGTCTTTGCTTCTTTAGCAGGAGTTTCTCCATGATGGTGAGTCGCAACGTGCGGCCGCTTGGTACAGGAATATCCGAGTCCATCCTGGGAAACATTGACAACATATCATTAGTCCCTGGGGGCGGCTTACTTTACGCCTCTTTCAGACGGGACCGAAGGGAAGCAATCCGTGATGGACAAGTCACTAAGGAGAATGCGAGTTCATATCCCAGTAAGGTATATAAGCTGGCCACGCCATAGCTCAAGCGGTTAGTCGCTGGCTTCCCACCGCGGCGGCCTGGGGTCGATCATGGGTCTGGTCAAGTGGTATTTGTGGTGGACAAAGTGGCGCTGGGGCAGCTTTTCTCCGAGTACTTCGGTTTCCCCTGCCAATCTTCATTCCACCAATTGCTTCATAATCACCCTCACCTATCATCTGGGCCTGGTAAAATAGGCCAGAATTGGCCGCAGTACAAGGGACTTAGTCCCACCCCACTAGCAATAAAAATAAGTACATGAGATGTTTCTCTTTGCTACTACGTCAACAAGATAATTGACTCTAATACTCATTCTGACTCTTACCCATCGCGTACATCCCTACAGTAGAGAAGAGTCAGTTGGTATAGCGACTCGGTAGCACGTAGACCAGTTACTAAGTAATAACACTGCAAACAACGCCCGTTGCTAGGCAAAAGATTCATATCACGCACCAATGTACTACGAAGAGGTGTTATCTACGCGGTCCGTGCGATAGTTGCGTGCTGCAACAACAGAATTGTTGGAAGCGGTGTTTTCTATGCGGTCAGTGGCGAGGTGTTATAAGCAGGACAAGTCTAGAGTTCAGCTAGTTAGGAGACAGTAGCCGGCAAGTAGGAACATGGACACGGAAGCTCAGGGAGCTACGGCGTTGGAAGCCGTTACCAGACAACGACTGGGGAAGACACCGCTGACTGAGAAGACTTCGTGCGTGCTGTAGTGAATTGCAGAGTATGTGAATTAGTGGTAGCATTATAGTAACTTGTAGTTACGATCTGTAAGAATTCAATAAATCCAATTTCCAATCCAAACCCCGTCTATAGTCACTCATACACGTGACGATATACTCACCTGTAAGTCATGGACCAGTTGAAGATCCCATTATAGTCCTTCATTTTGGTAGCGTCACTGCCCAGCGTGAAGGTGTGGAAAGGATTCTCGTCCGTAAGAAATACCCAGCGCTGGTGGGCGGGTCGCGGGCTCTTGGGGTCTGGAAGAGACTCCCGATTCGGGGTGCGGTGCAAGTGGAATAGCACAGCATCAGCTGTGTTTAGTTCGGCGCTGTTGTACGTCAGGCGGCAGTTGGACACCGAACAGTCTTCGAATGGATTCAGCCTGAAGAGGAAACACATACCTGTACATATACAGACCTTCAGGAACTCGAAACTCGCGACTCCAGGCTCACATCCAACAACCCTGCAGTAACTTTTGCCAAACTAAAATAGTCTATAAACTCTTAATAATCTGAAGAATACTATCTTCTGGGACATAACGTCGTGAAGTTCGTTGAAAGTTAACTGGCGTTTCGGAGGAATATATCGCCTTCATCTTCAGGTTCAAAGAATAAACTAAACAAGAAACCAGCTTAAAAGCAGGTGGCTACAAAAGCCTTGCTCGGCTTATTCTTCGACTCTGAAGGTGGAGGAGATATATTCCTCCGAAACGTCGGTTGCATTTCAAACGACTGCACAGCGTAATATCCCAGGGATACTCGTATACTCTTCATAACCATAGCACTGAGAACCTCAGATCGTACAAAAGTACAATCTGTTTACAGCGCAGTGACCGACTAATCAACATTCGTACAGCGACTGAACGCCTTACGACCAACTTTGGGCAACTAATACTCTGGCGACCTTCTGTTTCTAGTAGTGTGTGTCATTTGGCGAAAATTTGTATTTGTGAAGGATTTTATCCTGAATAATGCCTGATTTTTTAGACAAAGCTTAAAAAAGTTCAGAAATAAACATTTTAACAGACACTTAATAATTCAAGAGCCTTGCGAGGAGCTGATCACCCGACTAAGGAGTCCTACCGTCTATAAAAGATCATGAAAATGAGAAATCAACCCTACGCTCCAAAATTGGAGCAAGAGGAGAGAATGACAAAATAAAAAAATAATTCAAGAGGCCCCTGTTGTGAGGAGTTTCACCCTATACCGTACAACGTCATAGCAGAGTCCCAGTGGGTTTTTAATTTGCAGTTCTGTTTGTAGTGTTAATATAAATACGGCTAAGGTAATTCTCACATTTTCGTTCCGAACCGCATAACGAGACGTTTCTCGATGCTAGGTCCGTGCTTCCATACCAGTATAGTGAAGTTTCTGTCATACCGTGGCACACCTGACATATCTTCCAGAAACAACCGCCGCCCCAAAGCAGATATTCTCTTGATCTGAAAAATAAATTATTGATTCGTATTTTATTTAACAGCATTGTATTGCGTTTTGAAATTATTTGGTGTTGAATTGATGACCGAAAACTTGAGGGACTAGGGACATAGACAGCGAGGCATAATTCAAGGCACTTTTCAGGCAAATGTTTCGAGGTAAAAAAAAATCAGCCATGTCTGCTACTGTATCAATAGAGGCTTCAATCTTGTACATCATACACACAAAATAGATGTGTCACTTGAGTTAAATGGGCCTTCTCTGAAAGAAAGAAAGAAAAAAAAAGACGAAGTTGTCCCCCTGCTTCACTAATTAAGCACTACACCATGAAGGCGTATGGGGTAGTGGATGTATAGATCCATATTTTCTTGACCTCGGCATCAGCTGGAGGTGAGTGTTCAGCTTCACGTCCCGTCCGCTTTACCTCTGGAGAAAGAGACCCCGGTACCCATTTGATAGGAGGTTGGGTGGAACACAGAGCCGGTCTGAACGACATGGAGAAGAGAAAATTCTTGACCCTACCGGGAGTCGAACTCCTACCCCTCGGTCGTCTAGCCCGTTGCTAGTCGCTATACAGACTAGGCTATCCCGGCTTACAAACTCCGTGGTTCTAGTCCGCAGGCGAAATATACGGACCGAGCGACCGCCGCTTGTCGGCGAAGTTAGTGGCAACTTAAGCGGATAGAGGGTGTCACGTGGTCAGTGTAACGAATCTCCGCGGCAGTTAATCTCGGTTTTCTATGTCGGAGCCGCTATTTCCTTGAAATATCTCCTCAATTATCCTCACGAGGGCGAGTGGACCCCGTTCCAGACCCACTTACTTACTTACTTAGTCATGGAGCCGAACCCTTCTGCAGGAGCCGCCAATTCTGCAGATACTCAAGAATTTCCCAGCATTTTATGGAACCCGGAGGTTCATTACCGTGTTCACAAGAGCCCTCCACTGGTCCCTATCCTGAGCCAGATCTATCCAATCCATACCATCCCATCCTATCTCTCTAAGATCCAATGTAATATTGTCGACCCACCTGCGCCTTGGTCTTCCCTGTGGTCTCTTTCCTTCTGGCTTTCCCACCAATATCCTATACGCATTCCTCGTCTCACCCATTGGTGCTACATGACCTGCCCACCTCATCCTCCTTGACTTGATCAATCTAATTATACTTGGAGAAGAGTACAAGTTACGAAGTTCCAGACCCACTACTTCTCAGAAAACCTGGTAGCGCCGGGAATGGAACCCGGGGTCTCTGGATCTGTAGCCAGGAACTCTGACCACTAGACCAGAGAGGCGGTCCAAATAAGGAAGAAAATAAAGCGTGAAATAAAATACAATGTATCAATACAATCTGTACGCTTCATCGGGAGTGAAACTTACATCCTTTTCTCGCAGACCGCGCCAGTTCGGCGATACAGTCTCCATAACTGCGTCCACCGTAACATAGTCGAACTGCTCCGGATCCATTGTGTAATAGAAGTATCCAGAATTGATACTCTGACTCTTCAGCAAACACATCAGAAACAACACAAGCATAAACATCATGAAACATTTCCGCCATCGTTTCCAACTTCCGGTCTTCAGACGTATCCAGCGATGTGCTTCGTTTCTCATGGTGACATGACAAACGGTCTCCAGGTTCGTCAGTTGCACAAGTTATTGAGTACAAAGCTGGAGTTACATCCATCCCTTGTCGTACCTCTTCCCCTCAACACGAATTCCAATGACTGTTTCGAGAGATTTCATTTGTCTAGCAGTCGACGTCACATCAGCTGATACTGCATATCAGATGTATGGAAATAAATTCTGTAAAATCAAGAACATGTGATGCATTAATTAACAGACTAAACCAAGTCGTTTTAAGACAATACAGCAAAGAAAAATACTAGCCAGTTGGACGTAATACCATCAAGTTCGGTGGGAGTACACAGTCGTTTCGGAAGAACATGCTGCCTCCATCTTCAGGGTCGAAGAATAAGATAAGCAGCCAGCAAAAACAGGTGACAAGCAGAGCGCTCTGTGTATTCTGTATGTCGTTTGTTTTAATTCCTAAACCTTCTGTCAGAGTTTGATGTTTGTGAAAATTTTGCTGAAATTTAAGTCACTATGTATTAAATAAGCCGGTCACGGTAGCCGAGCGGTCTAAGGCATGTACTGTCTTCGCTCGCTCGGAAGACGGGATCGTGGGTTCGAATCCCACTCAGGGCATGGATGTTTGTGTGCGTTTTTGTGTGTTTGACTACTGGTAGAGGCCTTGTGTCGAGCTGATCACTCGCCCAAGGAGTCCTACCGATCGTGTAAGATCTAGAAAAACCGAAAGTGAACGGAGTTCATGGAGGTAGGCCTAGGCCCACTGGGGCTGTACTGCAAAAGAAAAAAAAAGTATTAAATAGGATTTTATATAGGCCTCATACTTTACTAGCAGGGCAAATTAATTTATTTTAACATAACTGAATTCGAAATATTTCACATTCCAGCCAAATAACAGGCGTATTACATAAAATGTAAATCTTTTCTGTTTATTGTTACAGAAATTTTAACTGTATTATGTTAGCTGTAGTGCCCTATATATTCGTGGAGATATAATGACCGCTGAAGTTAGGCACTTTTCTGTGACAAAGAGAATAACATCTGAGCACTGTAACAATAGGTGATTCCTTGCACATTCGCTCTACTGCTCATGAAACACCCTGTGCTATGGTTTTGGTTACGTGGTTGGTCATTAAGTAACAATCACGTAGTGATTCGACTCACTGGCTATTTTTTTCCCCCTTTGGCACTATAGCCCCAGTGGGCCTAGGCCTACCTCCATGAACTTCTCCGTTCACTTCGGTTTTTCTAGATCTTACACATTCGGTAGGACTCCTTGGGCGGGTGATCAGCTCGTCGCAAGGCCTCTACCTGTACACAAACACAGAAAAACGCACACACACACAAATTAACATCCATGCCCTGAGTGGGATTCGAACCCACGATCCCGGTTTCCAAGCGAGCGAAGACAGTACATGCCTTAGACCGCTCGGCTACCGTGACCGGCAACCGGCTAATTAGTTAAGGAAAATCATTCAGCTGAATAAAGAGTTAGTTCAGAAAGTATGTAAATAATCAGGTAATTTGTAAACCTGTTAAATAGGAGGGGTAGGAGCGAGGGAGACCAGCAGACTTGCTTGACACAGACACAAAACTTATTCCCTGATAAGAGAAGCGCCTCAATTCATACGGCGAATATGTTGAGAAGTAGCTTAAGTAAGTACATATTCTTTGCATACAATATATTTTCTTTCTTATTGCTTATTTTCTTAACAGCTCACCTGACTTTTTTTTTTAATTCGCTTAGTGAGAGGTGGAGTCCAGCTGGGTCCACTCGGCACGGCGGCCACAGATTGGCCTACTGTAGCCTGCCCCGGGTGATTTTGATGATGGAGAATTTGGTGGAATGAAGATTGGAAGGGGAAACCGAAGTACTCGGAGAACCCCCCCCCCAGCGCCACTTTGTCCACCACAAATCCGACTTGACCAGACCCGGGATCGAACCCGGGCCGCTGCGGTGGGAAGCCAGCGACTAACCGCTTGAGCTATGGCGCGGCCTCACCGGAGGTTACTTTCTGAATACTCTTGGTATAAAGTTAATCAGTCGGTCAATTAAACAGAAAATTAATTAATTACTTACAAGTTATATCATAGTCATAAAAGATAAAGTTATTCATCTTCTTGACGCAACGGGGAGCCAGTTCGACAATCAGTTCTAGCACAAAGTGTGAAATGTCACTGCGATGCGATATCCCCTTCCTTTCCCAATTTGTTTAAATTATTCGTGCCTCACTAACGTCTTTCTTTTCAGTAAGGGTCGAGTGATGCACAAATACATATATGAATAAGGTGTTCTGTGCAATATAATGGAGAAATAAGCTGTTGCTATCATGCCTGAGTAAACTCATGACGTCATAATGTTATTTCATTAGCGATGAGAAAATCGTGCCCACAATGCACAGCGTGTAATGCGTTGAGAATGTGGGTTAATGCGACTCTGATTACGTTTCCAGTGGCGCAGGGTGAAACTGAGTGGTGATCCTTGCAGAAGACACAGACGTGACAGCATTCTGTAGAGCCGAACAAACTACCTGCGATTATGGTACCAATAACACAGGGTCACTGAGATGCTGCTCCTTGCATAAGGTGCACTGACATGACAGTATTTTGTAAAGCTGAGTAAAAAAGTAAAACTACCCCTGTAACAGGAGATGGAAACCAGTAGGGTTGTGAGACGTCGAGGCTTCCACATTTTCTAGACAATCGGCTCACAGATAGCGGTGAGGTTTCAGCCATACGCGCCGGCCGCCCTTTATCCCCAGGAAGATTCCTAGTGCTTATTTCTGTTAGAGGCTGAGTGGACCCCAGGGTCAGAGTGCGGCTGAAAAGGGCAGGCAAATAGAAAAAATTGGGACCCGATGCCTCTACCTTCCGGCTGTGCCAAATTTGAAGATACCGTTCTTAAATTCATCTAGAGGGACTGAGAAAAACCATGAAAGACCTGTCACGATAGTCAGTGCCCCGGCTGTACTTCCCGAATACAAGTCGGTAAAAATGCAAAGGTATCTCTGTAACAGGCCGTGGAGGGCCATAGGGTTGTGAGACGTTGAGGTTCCCACATTTCCTAGACAATCGGTTCACAGATGGCGGTGAGCTTGTGAGCCTTACGCGCCGGCCGCCCTTTACCCCCAAGAACATTCCAAGAATATTCCTGGTACTCATTTCTGATACAGGCTGAGGCGACCCCAGGCTGAAAGGATTAGGTTAATTAGAAAAAATCCAATGATCTCATCGGTACTTGAACCCGCGATCTTACGGCTTGTAGCATAGTGCCTCAACCAACTACGCTGCCGCGTACCCCCTTCCAGACCCACTACTCCACAGAAAATCTAGTAGCGCCGGGAATCGAACCCGAATCCTTTGGATCTGTAGCCAAAAGCTCTGACCACTAGACCACCGAGGCGGTATACAAAATCGATAAATGACTTATGAGGTAATCAGTGCAAACGGGTCCAGAAAACCTGGATCAAACAGCACTTCCCAACGTAAAACTTTTAATAAGCACATGGTACCTAACCTGAGATTAATTTCTTGCAACTACTCTCCTAATGTAATGACTACTAACCGAAGAGTGATTTAATTTTGAATCAGTCTGTAGAATCGGTTATGGTGTCCCACACTGCAGATGCATTTCTTCATTAACAACTGCACTATGGTAGGATGCAAAGGCCAAGATGTTGCAAATATGTTTATCTACATTACAGAATCATTATTATTATCACCATCGTGATCGGAGTGCTTTGATGACGTCAGCTCATGCGGAAGTTAGACAAAAGTTACTACTGTAAAAATATGACATTGATAGAATTCTGTAGTTAATGTCTGTTGTACAGAAAACAGAACGTTAAGGTTCATAATAAAGTCATAAATTCATTAATATGGCAGAAAATGTGGGAGCTTAAAGGCACAAACAGCCCAACACATGATGTATTTCAGCATCCTGTTGCATTGGTACTCTTACCTTTTGTACATAAGTGCAACCACCGTCTTAAATGCAACAGCTATTTTCGTCTTATGTGTATCTCATTACAACATGTTTCGGCCTCACTCGGCCGTCGTCACGTGCATACACTCTTGCTAAAACTGTTGCATTCTATCAAGAGTGTATGCATCTGATGATGGACGAATGAGGCCGAAACATGACGCAAAGACGAAAATAAGTGTTGCATTTAAAGGTGCGTCCACATTACTCGTGCTCGCCAGGCTTGTGCTCGTCGGGAGACTCGTCTGGCTTTTACTTGTGCTCGTAAATCTTCGTCCACACTACTTCAGTTGCTCGCCAGACTTCGGCGCGTGAGGATCCATATATTTACTCGTAGTGTGTATAGGCTGTAGTCGTATTTTAATTTATTGGCTATAGTTTTTAAATTAAAAATTTAAAATTTGCTCGTCTCGTGACTTGTCATATCGCCCACATTACTCGCGAGCATAGCGAGTCACACGAGCACGAGCAATATGGACGTGCCTTAAGACGGCCTATGTATAATATATTGAGCTCAGGTGTCTTTGGGGGTTCGTCGAAGATTGTAAAGCAAAAAAAAAATAAAAATAAAATTGTCCCTTTGCCTAACTAATTAAGCAGTACGCCATGAAGGCGTATGGGGGAGTGGATGTATAGGTCCACATTTTCTTGACCTCGGCACTAGTTTGAGGCGTGTGGTCAGCTTCGCGACCCTGAGGTTTTTAAGATCGCCTTGCTGTCTGTGTGTCCCCTTCATCTTATGCAACAGGCCGCCTCTGTGTCTGTGTGCTCCCCTTAATTTTTTCTTTTTCCATGTAACCCGTGTCATGTGAAAGGAAAGTAGGCGATTGGTTCTTCTCAGATGTCTTGTTATTAACCATCTTAATTATAAAGTCAAATTCCCCATTTCAAAATTTCTGGGTGAGTGCATGACCTCAAGAGCCAGTCTCGTTTTACAGCTAACAATTTAAAGGTTTCAATATGTGTTTAGGTATGGACAGAAAATTCACATATTTCTGAACGTGTTCTTGTTGTTCCTATATTACGGGCTTTATATTTCTATCATCACAGCTGATATGGCTCCTTTACTGAAGCAATGTATTAGAAAAGCGCATTTCGCTTTCTCATGACTAAATTCTAACCTTCTTCTCTTTTTATAGAGGGTGTCCGGATGAAAGGTATCCAAAATAAAATCATTATAACTCATAAAGAATTTATTATACACATTAATGGGTAACACCATTACAAAGGGAAA